TCCTCATTCCGCCTTCCCACAGGGTTGGTGAGCCAATTCCAACCACACGGAAGAGTACTACATACACTCTAAAATGGAAGATCAGTAAGACAGAGGATGGCTACCACAGAACAAAGCTGCCTACTACTCTTAGACTATCCACTGACTTCAGTCTACTAGAAGAGGAAGAAATTTGTATCTTATTTGAGCCAGTGTATTGAGTCTCTTTCCAATAGCAAATTAGCCTGTACTCTAACTAAGCTACCTTTTGCTGAGGCCCTTTACAATCTCAGGAACTGTATAAACTTTATGATTAGTCATTACAACAACCCTGATAAGTAACTCATCCCCATTTTATAGATGAGAAGATGGAGGCTCCAAGAAGTCAAACGACTAAAATGTTATAACCAGAATTTAACTAAAATGCAGAGCTAATTCCAAGGCTATCCTCTTCTTACTATATCAGGTTGCTGCTCTTCTTGCTAAATTTTATAATATAAAGCCAATTTTTTTTATCCTTTAAAGTTAAGAGCTTACATTATTGTAAGTGTACATTATTGTACACTTTACCATTGCAAAGATATAAATCAACATGATCTAGTATCAATGATAGAGCAAATACAGGAAGAAACACACTTAGCAGATACAACTACCTTGTCTAAATTATAAAACAAAAAATGAAATAAAGAAAAAACCAAACTAGAGTACACAGAGGAACCAAATCAGTCCACCCTTTCTGTTTTATACCACAAGAAGAGATCTCAAGGTTACAAGGTACAAAATTATAACATTATATGAAATGTGATGGAAACCTGATACAGTGTTTTCTTTAGAGTTTAAACTGTAAACACAAAAGATAAAACCCTCTTAGAAAAAGGGATCTTCCAGTTATTCAATATGAGAGTCCTTTTAAATGAAGGGCCAACACAGACACCCTGAATTCCACTCTAACTTGAATGGTATAAAGTCAGATTCCACTGTAATTACCTTATTCACATTCAGTTAACTCGTAAAATTCTCCTATATAGGAGGTCAAAAAATTAAATATAGTCAAATTCTAACAAATCATTTGAAAACTACTGTAATTTGCTATTAAACATAAAAGCATTGAGGGTTTTCTAAGACTATTTGGGTAGATGAAAAAGGTAAGAAACTTAGAAAGTAAATTCCTTTCTTCTACCCCCAGTCCAGAAGGTACAATCTTTCCGAAGCAAGATGAAATGGAATTTAATAAATACACAGATGTTATCCCTTTTTCTTTCAAAGGCAAGTTGCATTTTCATACAGATTTAGCACTATATTTGATATTGTGTTTTTAGGAATAACTTTAAACCCAGAGTTTGGTATGTAATCATATTTCTAAGCTCACCAAAGTAAGACGTTCTGGTTCTTCCCACTTGTTTTCATAACATGTAATTGTTTGTGGTGTTTTAGGAAATCCTTCCAGGTTGAAGTCTTCAGTGGTTTGTACTCCTTTTGTACACAGCTCTATAAAATCACTCTGGCATGCAGCTATAATGAAAATTATAAAAGAATTTTTCTAATTGCACCGAACAATGCTAAGATATATGGAATTCAACTGGTATATATCCACCATCTAAGTGAAATAATAAAATACTTTGCTCAGCTCAATGAATATTCACTATTACTATTTTTGTTTCTAGGATTTACCAGCAATTATGTGATTTGGGGACAATTCTGACTGTAAATGCTATTAAGCTTTTACAAAGTTTATGTCTTAAAATTCTTACAATTCACAGAAGAGGGAAATTATATATATTTTATTTTTAAAATTATATATATTTTGTTAAAAAATGCATAACAATACAAAATATTTATGAGTAAAATGAAATGACATCTAAAATTTGCTTTAAAATACACTAGAAAAAAATATAGCTGGTGAAAAGTAAAACAAAGTAAAAATAAAAGTTCATTATAATATTCTCTCTATGCTGGGGTATGTTTATATATTTATGTAAAAATTTTAAAAATATAAGAAAATTTCAAAAAAATATGTAAAACATAATTTTAATGATCTTAAGTGGAAAAAACAGAGAAAGATGAAAGGATTTCTGAAAATTAACTATAGGGAAACTAAAATTGTAAAAAATACATTTAATTTCAATGAGGTCCTTTCCCTTCCCTTCCATTTCAGAATTAATTTATTTTATCATTAATAAGTAAACGCTACAATATCATTTTTTCAGCAATAATAGCTACTATACCATTTTTTCTCGATGTAAGTTCTTTTTCTTTCTTTGGAGAGGACTTTGGCAGACGATTAGAATATATGTTTTTTATATCCAGTTCTCTCTCCTTTTCCTGAAAACAAACTCAATACAATTAAGGAGGTAGAGTTTAGTTTAAAACAAAAAAAAACCCCTCACTTTGTCAACTGGTATTTTGCTTACCAAATTGAAATATACCTGGCTTAGTTTTCCTTTATAATTACCAAACTATAAAAAAGAATGTCTCTAGCACATTTAGGTTAGGATAGAGCAATGATTTTTTCTAAAAAGTCCAATATGTCCTGGCAAAAAAAAAAAATGAGAACAAGCAAGGCAAACATCATTTTCTACTCACTCCTACGGATATAGCTAGTATTGTCTTAACTCTCATCCACGATTAGCCACAGAGAGAAAAAAATTAGCATCTCTCAAATATGGA